AAATCCGTCAGCGAAAGATGCCTCAGAAAAACTGCTTGTTGCTGGGATTTAGTTACCCGACACTATATGGAGGGCAGATTCTCATTTTCAGTACAAGAGTAAAACAGTCTTAAATGCCGATGTCTCAATCTCTGTCACTGGTACTTATAAAGGGAATAGAAGGGAGAGGGGATGGGGACAGGACAATAAATATTCTACCACTGTGTAGTCAGATTGTGGTCCACAGACCAGCAGCACGGCATCACCAGAGAGCCTACTAGAGATGGAGAATCGCAAGCCCCCACCCAGAGGTACCAAGTCAGAATCTGCATTTGAACAGACCTCCAGGCAATTCCTGTGTGCCTCACAGTTTAAGAAAACTCTGCCTTTAGGGGCGCCTGGGTGGCTCAGTCGTTGGGCGTCTGCCTGCGGCTCGGGTCATGATCCCATGGTCCTGGGATCGAGCCCCGCATCAGGCTCCATGCTCAGCAGGGAACCTGCTTCTCCCTCTCCCTCCTGCTCCCCCTGCTTCTGCTCTCTCTCAAATAAATAAATAAAATCTTTATAAATACATACATACATACATACATACTATCAGACAAATCAAATTCTGTAATAAACTCAGCTTTAAAGTTCTCAAGGTCTCATTAGAAATACTGACTATAGGGGCGCCTGGGTGGCTCAGTCGTTAAGCGTCTGCCTTCGGCTCAGGTCATGATCTCAGGGTCCTGGGATCAAGCCCCGCATCGGGCTCCCTGCTCCGTGGGAAGCCTGCTTCTCCCTCTCCTACTCCCCCTGCTTGGGTTCCCTCTCTCGCTGTGTCTCTCTGTCAAATAAATAAATAAAATCTTTGAAAAAAAAAAGAAAACTCTGCTTTAGAGGGGCGATGACAGTAGTGACCATGAGAGATTTACCTGTCCTGGCACACTTTGAGAAAAGCTGAACAGGTGGGACCTATCAGCTATAGGTATTAAACGCCGGCAGTCAGAGTTTAATTTTTTTGCAGCTAGAGACCAGGCCCCCTGATCGTGTTTGACTGAACCGCAGCGCCCTGTTTAGGGAAGGACAGGGGTTTGTTTACCACACAGATGACTGCCCTCTGGCTTGATGACTGCAAGCTAAATGCTGCTTCTCTGCCCTGGGGTAGAATGGTTTCTGTGATGACAGCTAGGCCTTGCTCCCTCCCATCTATCCCCCGCCCAAGTTAACCAAAGAGCAGAGAATAAAGAGTACTTAAAATTTTTTAAAAAATTATTTAAGAATTCATCATTGTGAATTTTTTACTTTACATCACGTTATCATCACGGGTTTCTTGGGGAGAAAGTCTGCAAAAAAGTGTGGCTTCCTTAGTGATGTGCCAAGCATTTTTTCTGGTTTGAACTCAAACTGGTACAGCTGACAAATGTCAGGGTTAGATCATATTGATCCAAGTCTGGTTTTAAAAAGTACATCTGTTTGGTCTTCTTTCATCAAGTGATGCAAAGATTTTTTTGTGTTTAATTTTTTCCCACTGTGATGATCATATGTTACTTGTATATAGATAAAAATCCACTAAGTTTTCTTTTATGAAAGTAAGAATTAAAACCAAAAAAACCCTCTTAGTGATAAAAGGATTAAGACTACTAGAATCAGTCCTTACCGGAGTTAGAGTTAATTCCCAGGGCACTTCGTTCAAGGGCCCTGAAGAATCCATCCGCTTTTTAGAAGCCCTGTCCCTCCTCTAGTTTAGTGGCTCACTGCGCTCTCTTGCCTGGATTATTTCAGTAGCCCACTAATTGGTCTTGCTACCTCCCTCTTGCTCTCTCTTCAGTCTGTCTTCAACATAGCAGCCAGATCATATTGGCTTCTGCCCATGACACCTCAGTTGCATTCCAGGGCTCTCAGAATAAAAGCCAAAGGCCTTATAGGGCCCTAAGAGACCCATCACTTACCTCTCTGACCCCATATACTATTACCATCTCCCTTGCATATCCTAGTTCAGACAGGCCACACTTCTGCCTCAGGACCTTTGCCCTTGCTGATTCCTCTGTCTGTCACTGTCTTTCTCAATCTATCTACATAACTCCTTCCCAGATTTTCTTTAGGACTTTGTTCTTATGTCAGTTTCTCCAGTGAGGCTTTCTTTGACTGCCCTACTTAAAATTTAATCTTCCGGGCACCTGGGTGGCTCAGATGGTTAAGCATCTGCCTTTGGCTCAGGTCATGATCCTGGGGTCCTGGGATCGAGTCCCGCATTGGGCTCCCTGCTCAGCGGGGAGCCTGCTTCTCCCTCTGCTTCTCTATCTCTGTCTCTTATGAATAAATAAGTAAAATCTTAAAAAAAATTTTTTTTTAAATTTAATCTCCCCTTCCTGCCCGCCCCCCCCCCCCCCCACTGGACATATTTTATGTTTTATTTAATGTGTGTTCCTTGTTTGGCTCCTCCTAGAATATTACTTCCTTGAGAAGAAGGGATTTTGTCTTGCTCGTCTTGTGTTCACAGCACCTGGAACGGTGCCTGGCTTATTCGAGGTACATTCTGTTTGTGGAAAGAATGAGTGAAGTCGGCCCTTTCCCAGCTCCATGACTAGACATGAATTTAGATCCAAGGGCACTGTGGGACTTCTTCCTACCAGGACTGTTCTCATTCACATCACATAAGAGGACTGAGATGTTAGGAGAACATCTTTAAAATATTAACCGCAGCTGTGAGCCATTGAAAGCATTCTACACAGTGCATTAGGAAATGCCAACTAATTGTTGATTTGTAAGGCAAATGGGAGACTAACACAGTACACAGCAGGTCCCCTGTGTACCAGGGCCTGGGAAGGAAGCGGAGGAGCAGTATCTGGGGCCTCCTTCAGGAGTCTTCACACTTTCTTGCTATCAGCCCTTTGCTTGGGGCAGGATCTCAGAGCACACTCAGTCTTGCGTGCCCCTCCTCCAAGGGCTGTGCCTCGGGTGTTTGTGTGCATGCGTATGTGCATGTTATTTGTTTGCCGGTGTTGTCTCATCGAGGGCTTCCTTTGGCCACAATTTATGTTTTCCCTTTTGTTTATAGCGTTTCTTAGTAACCCACTGCCACAAGTCCTCTGTGCGGAGTTGCTACCCAAATGTATCTTGAACTTTGTGCTGTTTGTCTTTTAGTATCTTAAAATTTATTGTGGCCATGGAAGTCAAGGTGACAGTAATGTTACAGAAGTGAATGTAGACAATGCCCATGTAATTATTGAGTGGCAGGGGTGGGAGGACACACTGGGGAGGATGGAGCCTAACCAAGGAAGCCATATGGTCTACCTGGCAGAATTATTCCTGTTTTGGTGATGGATGCAACAAGTTCTTACAGCCTGAAGCCATCCTTCTTCCTTCAATAGAATATCTCTTGAATGTCCAGTCTTGTGGAATGTGCTCATAAAATGAGTCCAGCGTCCACCTGCATGGAGCTTCTTATTACTCTACTGGGAGAAATAAACATACGTAATCACATACATGTGTAATTCTAAGCCATTACTGATAAGCGCTACAAAGGAGAAGCTCCAGATGCTATGGGAGCTTCAAATAGGGGAATCTGTCCCAGTGTTGGGGTCAGGTCACATTCAAGGTAGGATCTACCAGTTACACAGCAAGTGTGTGCTTGGGGTGGGGGGCGTGGGGAACGGGGCAGAATATTGTTATTAATTTCCAGGCAGAGGAAATGAGGTATGCAAAACCTCTGAGGTGCTGAGGGATTTTGCATGTTCAAGAGAGTGAAAGTAGACCAGCGTGGCTGCAGTGGGTGAAGAAGACAGGCCGGGTGGTGCTGGAGGAAGCTGGGCAGGTGAGCAGGGCCAGAGCGAGGCCTTCAGGTCAACTTTTTGGGTCTTTATCATGAGCCCAATGTCCATCACTGAAGGGGTTTGAGTCAGGCTGAGCCATGAGCTGTTTTCTATCTTTGGATGTATACTCTGGATGCACCAGATAATGGTGAATAATGGACTGGAAGGGAGAGAGTAGAAGCTGGGAATACATAGGAGTGTCTTGAGTTTGTCCAGGAGAAGGATGATGGAGCCTGGACTAGGATGATGGAGCCTGGACTAGGACTAGTACAGGAGATGGGAGGATACTTGTCTGGAAGAAGAATGTTGGAGGCCATTGGCATTGAGATTGTGCTTGCTCTGATATGTTTGCTGAGCAATCTTCAGTTAATTTGGCTTGACCTTCCACCTGCCTGTAAGGTTCCAATACCTGGGATTTCAGGAAATATTTGTTCACTAAAGAAATGTGAATGTATTAGTCAAGCTGGATGGAGCAAGTGTCCAGACCGTCTGGCAATCATAATTTTCATTGTACATAATATAAAGGTACTATAGTTTTATACATCAATCTCTTATGAGCTTTGTTAGCATGAATCAGTACTGATAAACATAATCATTTCTGAAGTCTTAGTGAGGTAGAACTTTTGGATGCAAGAGATTTGAAAGACAGTCATGAATTACCTGTCAGTCCTGAATTCCCAGAGGTAAATGTCACCTGGTGAAAACACTCTGAACAGCTACCTTCCCTAGGCAGGACCCTCTTTTTTGATGATTGCTTTTCCATTGTCATTTAAAAAAATTTTTAAGTAAATCTATGATAGCTATATCCACCAATTGTTTCTGCCCTTAGAACAGCAGTTATTTCCTCTAGTGCGGAAAGGTGCTGCCCACCTAAAAAAAAGAACTTGAGAGAGGATGTAGTTTGAAAAGGCATAATAAATGTAGAAGGATTGAGAGTCAAGAACCTTGTTCTAAATTGTTTCCCTACGCATCTAACTTTTTAATATGGCACGTTGATTTCCTTTGAAACCATCAAGTATCTGTTTTCCAAATCTCCTATTATCTAGACATACGGTGATACTGTCTCAGTGGTTCTACCTAGGGGCTCAGGAAAGTTACGCCGCTGAAATAATTGACCAAGGCGTCACGAAGCCCTCTGGGAGCTCCTGAGTTCAGAAGTCGGCAAACAGTGAGATACAACACGTGTGCTTTTAGGACTACTCACTGTATTTTCCTTATCTTTTTCAGGAGAAAAATGGAAGAAATGGAGGTACTTTCAGATGGAACAGAGTGAGCCACTGAACAGGTAGGGAACTGAAATTAGCAGGGGTTTGTGTACAGTAACTGAATGAATTCGTATTTGTGAGGTCCTTTCAAGAGTACCTGGCACATTGTGTAGACACTGTATGTAAGGGTTTACTCTTGTGAAGTTCTTTAAAATGGGCCCAAGCCCCAAACAAACCAGTCATACAACCAAAAAGTACCCAACAAAAACAAACCCTTTGCTCCTAAAGCAATTGGGAACATCACTGGTAATTATTTTTTTCTTTTTTTTCCATCGTTGGTAAATTCTGTGGGACCTGTTAGGCTGGCCTGAGAAACTTTCTGTCTTAATCTTTGAGCACCCAATGTGTTTGAACACCCATTCATTTTTGATTTTGAGCATTCATTCATGATGACCTTTAAGTGTCAGATACATTTCCGTTTTGAACAAAACAAGCTTTTAAAAAATTCTTAAAGAAACCGCTCCTTATCATTTGGGGAAGAGATTGCAAAATTGACCTATCACCTTTCTCCTCCCCTGTGTCTCCCTCTCTGGATCTGCACAATTCCTGCCTTTTTGCCTTGCTGTGGGGAGGCTTGGGTCTCCTGATCTAGATCTTGCCTTCCTCTCACTTCAGCTCTTCTCTCTCCCCTGGCTCCTCTCCCTCAAAACGTCACTTGGTTCAGGACCCAGAGGAGACGCTGGGAGTGGGGCCCACAGTCTGATTAAGTAAAGTTAGACATTTCTCTAGATGGCATTCACATTGCATCTCCTTCCCCCCAACTTACATGGTTTACTTTCAACACTCTGTTGTTTTATGTTTTATCACATTTCCCTTCTGGCATTTTGGGATATTACCTTTGGAAGTTAATTTTTTTTTTTTTAAGATTTATTTATTTATTTATTTAAGAGGTGGGGAGGGACAGAGGGACAGAGAATCTTAACTAGACTCCAAGCTGAGCTCAGGGCCTGACGAGGGGCTCAGTCTCACGACCCTGAGATCATGACCTGAGCTGAAATCAGGAGTCGGACACTCAACCAACTGAGCCACCCAGGCGCCCCTCTCCTTCCCTTTGTAACTAAGCTTGTGTTTCTATTTTTCACATACCGTTCACTTCTCAGCTCTCTTTGTTTGAACTTTGACCTTCCTCTGCTGACCAGTAGCCAAGAATCATTTTACCATTTTGAGTAAAACTGATTGCTCTGTGCTGTTAGATCTTGCCTATTAAATGTAATTTTCAAAAAGTAACACTTTTCATTAATTCCCGTATCTGCTTAGATCCCCAAATTCAATTTCTCAGAAACATACCTTTTCTGGTGGTCTGATCTCACAGTTCATGCCCTTACATGGTTCCAGGATCACAGAATTATAGCAGTGCGGGGGGGTCTTCTGTATCCTGTGATCTTTTGGGTTGGCGTCGTGGGCTACAGAGAGACACCTGCTGGCTCAGATGTAGAGTTACATTGTCTTGCTATCCTGAAGTTTATCATGTTGTCATTTTTAGGACCTTAAACTTTCATGATGCGCAGGTAAGTTTGTATGTTGGAATGCACTGAGGTCACTCACCTGACCCCCTGAAGCATTCTTAGCATCTCCAGCTCCACATCCAAGGAACTGAAGAGTATTCATATCCCATCACCCAGTCAGAAGCTGATACCTAATGGGGAAAAGGGTTCCATGGTAAAACTAGATTCCTTCCCTTCATGTGTTCTTAATGGGACCACAAATTGATAGTTTAGTAAAGCACCCAGTAAGCCGAGATCCATTTAAAACTTTTGAAAATGATAATTCACTCTTCCAAGATAGTTAAGAACTTTTCACACTCGCCCGATTTTTCTGGCCATCTTCCTTTACACCTGTTCTGAGAGGGGAACCTGAAGTGAAAATAGAAACTGTGACTCCTTTTATCAAGGCACCTAGACTGATCATGAAGAGTGGGAGAAGTCACATCAGGTAGCCAAGCACTTCTTCTAAAAGCATGAAGAGAAGAAACAAAAGACCATAAACAATAAGAGAGGAAACGGAGTGTGGTATGGCTTGCGAGTTTTGAACGTCAGTGCTTCAGTCTGGTTATATGGTGGTTGTCCTGAAATAAGGGAAGCGAACTGTGTGGTCCACTGTAAATGCTCGATACATAGCAGCCACTGGTGTTGCCATGTACAGAGCTACTCAGGGGCCCTCTCAGTACGTTCTTTTCCTTGTGCTTCTAATAGTTAGGGTTGGATTTGTTTTGATCCAGTCTGTATTTTTTGTGACCGTTCGTATGGCAAAGAAAACGATGATGTTACCAGCATTGAGTGAGTATTTCCTACGTGCTGAGCGTTGGGTGAGGAGCATGAGGGTAGATAGATATTGCTGTCATCCCAGTCTTATTTTTTTTCTTTAAATTCAGTTAATTAACACATAATTATTACTGGTTTCAGAGGTAGAGGTCAGTGATTCATCAGTTTTGCAAAATACACCATGCTCTTTCCTTAATGCCTGTCATCCAGTTACCCCGTCTCCCTAACCCCCTGTTATCCCAGTTTTATAGAATGTGCACAAGGAAGCTCAGTGAGTCTAGTGTGTGAGAGAACTCAGCTATTTCACCCCCGTCGGGAATGAGCCGTTGCCAGTCCCTGCATCTGGTTGGCTCTGAATAATGTTGCTTACTTAAACCTTTAGAAAAAGCTTTTTGTTTTATATTGTTGATTAGCTGTGATAGCCAGAAAGGAAAATACCACTTACTGAAAGAAAAGGGGTTTTAATAGAATTAAAAAGTATAACTCCGGGGCATCTGGGTGGCTCAGTCTGTTTAGAGTCTGACTCTTGTTTTCAGCTTGGGTCATGGTCTCAGGGTCATGAGCTCAAGCTCGGCGTTGGGCTCCATGCTCAGTGGGGAGTCTGCTCGAGACTCCCCCCCCCACACACTCTCTCTCTGTAATAAATAAATCTTTAAAAAAAAAAATAACCCAGGTTTTTCTAAATTTGGAACATCACTTTAATAGTCCCGATTTTAAAGATTTTTAAGTAAATATTTGCAGTTTACAGTCTACTGTTTAGTTCTCAGAGATAGAATAGTGTAATGTTTTAAAATACTGTAAAATTTTAAAAATTAGAGGTAGCATTCCCTTTTAAAGTCTGTGTAATCAGCATGAGTATCTGAATATATTTCCTGAGTGTCCTGTATTTTTACAAGCACATGGTATATCTTGCTATTGCAAGTAGGAAATTTAAGGCAGACAGATTCCAAAGGATTTCAGTATTTGGGGTATGTCTACATCAATAATTGGAAGAAGATAAATTCAGCACCTCTCATTGAAGGGGCAAATAAATATAAATATCTACAACCAGTTTTCAGTTGACCCCCTTAATGGGAAGAAACAATACCATGGTTAATCATAACTTACTTTCTTGTTTAGTTTTCGCTTTAGGGTTCTTTGTTTTCTGGAGCACAGGGGAGTTGGCATTGGATTTAGAAGTGGCTCAATATGTAATTGTGAAAAAGAGGAATGTCTCTATAATTTAAAATACGTTGCAAATATTGCCACGTGTTTAGAATTAATATATAGGGAGTTTATTACGTTTCATATTCACTTGCCTATTCTTAAAACTATGAATGTCTAGGGCGAAGCAGGAAGTTAAAGAGAGAATCTGTCTTGATAAGCCTTCCTGGCTCCCCTCCCCCACTACTCCCATCTTTTTTTTTTTTTTTTTTCTTTTAAGGCAAAATGAGTATAGGATTAAGATCAAAGATGCTGGAAGGGGAAAATACGTTGGAAAATAATTTAAATTTAAGCTTGAGAATTTGGAATTGAAAGGAAGGTTAGAGGCCATTTACCTTAACCTTTTCCATTTACAGATAAGGATAGTGAGTTCCCCGTGGCTTGCCGAGGCCACAGAGCTATTAAGAGGCAAAACTGATCCTACATGGAGATAGTACTTACTCCACCGGAAGTTTTAATGGGATTTTTTTTTTTTACCTTTATTGAAGTGTAATTGACAAATAATATGGTAAAATAAAGTGTACTTTGACATATATATACTCCGGGTTAAAGAGTTTCTTTCACTTGAATAATTTTCAAAAATGGGTATTAAACCTCAGTCTTCTTTAGTCTTGTTTTTTAACACACTACCTGGAAAGCATGTGTCTTAGCAAAGTGTCCTGGAAAGCAGAGCCTAGTCCTATGCCTGGCACTCTGTTTTTTCCCTCTCTGCTAGACTGGTGGGGTGGGGGTGGGGGGGCAGGGTGGCGGCCTGACGTGTGCACAGATAGGAAAGGAAGAGAGAAGCTGTCCGTGCCTCCGTGAACATGAAGCTTGTGTGGGATAACTTTTCAACCTGGACCTACTTGTTTCCTAACAGTAGCTGCTCTCTGGGAAGTTCCATGTGTTTCTAGCTGTGTGTACCCCTTCACAACCTAGAGAACAACACCCCTAATTCGTTTATTCTCAGGGGGCATCTGGCAGATCCCCTCAGTAAACAAAATGCTCCTGTGCAGAAGGTTATTATCTGTGTTATTTTTTACTGGTATAGAAGCAGTTTTAGTGTTGGCCATTAACTTTTTACATTTGACTCCCCTCCCCCTGCTCCAGAAATCATTCAGCTTCCCAGTTTAGGAAAATCTGATTCCCATGGCCAAGTACTACCCTCATCTGGATGGCTGTCTTCAAAATGAATGCTCTTGGTCCCAAGCAGTGAAACAGGGTAAATGGGCAGCAAAATGAACATCATCACCAAAAAAAAAGTCCCAGTATGTAATACCACTAGTAAAAAGTGTCATATTTTATCCAAAGCCTTTATCTTTTCTTAGAAACTGTTCAACTGAATTGGTACAACCTTGAATCATCCTTTTTAAGAAAAGAAAAAAAAAAAACTATAGAAAATGTATTCTAGTGCCTGTGAAAAGTATTGGTTTTGGACACAATGAATATGTGTTAGAAATAAACAGTAAAATCTGACCTAGAAAAGAAGTAACTTTAAATATATCTAAAAATAACCTAAAAATTATTGTAGTGATAAATAGTAAGATCATATGACATTGACACTGGCCTGTCCACGG